GGAATAAGCTCACATTTTTGAGTTCCCACAATAAGTCACATACTTCCAAGAAACAAGGAACAGGATAAACATTCCCAGTTCAAGGAGATGTAATAAGAACATAGGAAAGGAAGGATTGAGTCAAAGCAAGACTTTTTACCCAGTAAAGAAAACATTAATTTCTATAGCTCTGTATTCAACACTGAGGATACTCAGGAGAGCTTTGGATGGTCTACCTCCTTGATTTAGCAATCCCAAATGGCCAAGTATAGTGGCTTTGGTTGTCATCTAGAGCTACCAACAGAAGACTTCTTGGCATCCTTATTTTCCTTTTGTCTTAATAGATGCTTCAGCTTCACTTTCATGGATTCTTATATCATCCTGTTAGCAGATCATTACAGGGACTCTGACTTGGCCTTACGTTTGCCTTTCTGGGCTTTCCTCTTGATATCTTGGTGGAAGCCTCTAGAACTCTAACTCTTGTACTCTGTTTGGTTGATTCATGATGTGATCATGAATCATGATCATATTGACAATGAAAATAAGATAAACTGTCTCAACCTAATAAATAAAAACAAAACCTGCACGATTCCCCTCCACTTTGGATTAACCATCTTGTCTACCTTGCTTTTGGGGCTGGAGAGATGGCTCAGAGGTTAGGAGCACTTGGTTAACATCATACTTTTCTAAGTAGATATAGTGAGGGAAAATTTACCTGTGGGTGATTGCAAAGATACCAATTAGATGGGGTATAGAAGGTTCTGCTCAAGAAGGATACAATGGTATAGTTTCCAAGTTACCTCTGACTGTTGAATTCTTCCTTGGTGAGGACTCCAGGAGTCTTTAGCTGCCAGTTTCCAGTATCTGCAATAGCTCATCGAGTTCTAGAAGGTTCCTGGTTTTCACTTGTAGTTCTTTTCTCTCATGCATGGGAATTCTTTCTAAGGGGATTCCTCATTTTATGTCTAATGTGCTGGCATATGCACATGATCTAAGTTGTAGATTCACTTTTAGTAGTATGGTTGGCAGTATTTGATATGGAAGTACTCAGAAGTAGGGGAGCCAGGATACTGTGAACAGAGGCACATAGAATTGCTAGAACAACTGGGGCACAGTCATAGTTGATTGGAAAGCAACACTAATGCATGAAGTATGAGCATATACAAACATCTGCCGTATCTGAACCGAGGTCTCAGGAATGTGATGTGGTTATTTGGATATGAAAAAAAGAGACTAAACAGGATTATGGGTTCAGGGATGAGAGGTAAAAGGGGATCATAGCCGGTGCTGGATACAGAACAGCAGCATATGAAGCCCCAGTAGTAGATAAAAGTCAGAACCAAAGACCCAGTGAGATTTAGCCAATTATTTACTTATGAATGCTCAATTGATTCATCATCATCTATTAAAAACGTTACATTTTTCTCTGCATTCCCTTTGCCGTTTTGTCAAATAGTGGCCCACAATAAATGCACACGTTTGTTAGACATGCTATTACCCACATCAGTCTTTAAGTCAGTAATATGCTATCTTGATTTCTATTTAATTTTTTATTTATGCATGTAATTTTAGGTTATTTCTGTAGGAGGGCAGAATTAAGTATTTGCTTCCAGAGTCAGAGATCTGTATCGGGGAATAAATCACAACAGTGCGAGGTAAGGAGGGACCAAATTTATACTTGCTTACTAAACCAACACAGCAAACATTCAGACATGTATGCCCTAGAAACTCTCTACATATAATGTTCAAGAGTAGGATAGGTGGATCTTGAGGTAAATCTATTCCTAGCTTTCTCCAGAACCCCCACACTGATTTCCATAGTGGCTGTACAAGTTTACACATTTTTCCATTTTGACCATCACTATTTGTTGAAGATTCTTTTTCCAGTGTGTATTTGTTGTTGTTGTTTTTTTTTTTTATTCAAACACCAAGTGTTTATAGGTGTGTGTACTGGTCTGGGTCTTCAATTTGATTTCATTGATTGCCAATATCGTGCTGTTTTTATTACTTTAGTTCTACAGTACAGTTTGAGATAGGGGCTGGTAATACTTCCAGCAATTCTTTTATTATTCAGGATTACTTTAGTTATCCTGGGATGTTTTTTGTGCTTCCATATGAAGCTGACAATTGTCCTTCCACGTTCTGTGAAAAATTGTGCTGGAATTTTGATTGGGATGCATTGGATTTGTAGATTGTTTCTGGTAGAATTGCCATTTTTGCTATAATAATCCTACCAATCCATGAACATGGGAGATCTTCACATTTTCTGATATCTTTAATTTCTTTTTTTCAGTGTCTTAAAGTTTTGATTGTAGAAGTCTTTCACTTGCTTGGTTAGAGTTACCCCAAGATTCCTATAGGCTAAGTAATCTTAAAATTATTTATTTTAAATCTCTTAATTTTTCTCTTATTTTTCTAAACTGTTTAGATTGCTCTTAGTCCTTTATATTTCCATATATGTCATACAATCATATTTTCAATTTTTAAACAAATATAAACTAAATCTATCTACTAAGATTTTCTTTGAAATTTTTCTGAATTTGGAGGAATATTTATGATCATTAACAATATTTAACTCACAGTTAGCATGGTTCAAATCTTCATTTATATGGATAATCTTTAATTTATGTTTATAATGATTTAAAACTTGAGTAGTTTTTTTTAACTTCTGTTTCTCACTTTATCATTTAATGTATTTTAGCCTTATGAAATTATATTGGAATATATATATGAGAGAGATACTATATATATAGAAATAACTTTTAATATCTTTTTTCTACTAATTATTTAATGTTTCATTCTCGTGTTCAGTCAGTTTTCCTAATTATTTCCATATCCATTGCCTTTTGTACACTAATTTACTACAACATTTTATATTTTTGATATTATATTGCTAGATTCTTTTCAATGGTGTCAGAATGTTGTTTTGGACAAAAACGTTATTTGTAATTATTGTTCTAAATCTTTTCTAGAGTAGGTGAAGAATTAATTCTATGGTTAATTTATGCCAGTACTGATTTTGACACCTTGAAGTCTCCTCTGTGTGTAATATAATAGTTCATAGTAATATGAACTCTTTTAGCTTTGTGAAATTTGGAAGCCACTCTGCCTTCTTTTTTGTTTTTTCTCCAAGCTTTTGGTAGTTCTTCACATGGATATCCACATTAACATGTAGCTCTGATTTGTAGGAATGGTTTTCAAATCCTTGGTATAGTTACTATGTGTAGCTCTCGCTAATATCCCTTTTTATGTTCTAGCTGCTTTGCAGCCTTCCCTCCCGATACCTGTCTCTTTGATTCAATGAGATCACAGGTCTTTTAAAATTTCTTTCCTTTACCTCAGGAAATGTTTGCTAAGCTAGAATGTTTATGAGGCTGTCATCTTCCTCTCACCCCTTCCTTTGACTACTGCCTAATATGTAAAAATTGTTTAATATATCAAGTCCAGTTTTCTGGCTGTTTAAAGTAGACTAAATCCAATTTCTTCACAGACTGTTTAATCGCTACTTCCTGGTTTTTCCAGTATTACAGTGTAACTTTGTAGTTCCTTCTATTTTAAATCCAACACAAAAAATTATTTATCATTATTATACACTCAAATTGAGCATTGTTTTGAAAGTTTCATTATTGCTTATAATAGAAATAATTAGCTACATTTCAATACCTTAAAGCCTAAAGATTTAAATACATATACTCTTACATTTACTCAAATTAAAATTAATTTTTATTTCTATGAAGAAACCTCAGAGTACTTTAAAACAATTTTCTAATTTTATTCTCATTAAAAAACTTATAAACTAGATTCATTAATTTCTTTCCAAGTTATATAACCTATAAAGCAGACAGGTAAAATTCAACCCTGGATATTCTGAGTCTTACTTATATCAATACTTTTTTCTAGATTTCAAGGTCTGTCTTACTAGAATATGTCGAAATTCATTTGAACTAGGAAACCGTTTTAAGTGGATAAAAGTTTTATTCTGACTTATTATGTTTGTAAGAATGGCAGTGTGGCAGAATGAAAAGAATAAGATTGAAACTATGCATATAGTTTATAAACAAGATTCAATCTAAGTAATGAAACAGTATGAAGCTTTTAAACCACACACAAATCATGGCCATATAGAGTACATGTCTAGTTTAGGAATCAAAAATTACAGAATGTTCATGTTTAGCTAGGCAGCATGTTGTAAATGGGCAGATATAGGACTTAATATGTACTTAATGGTTCAGGTGACCAAAATGCTTAACCAGCCTAGAAAAGCTGCTCTAATTTAACAACTTGTTAGTCAAATCATATTTCTCTTTTAATACATCGGAGACAGTAATGAACAAAATTTGAGAAGAAAATGTTTTTTATAAATTAATCTGTATTTCTTTAAACCTACCTGATATCGAACCCTACTTATATGCCAAATGTAGTGGTGCACACCTTGTCTCCTGGAAGACAAAGGTAGAAAGATTATAGTTCAAGGAGGTCTTGGATACCTAGGATGTCCCTGTTCTAAAAATGAAGGAGGAGGAGAGAAGGAAGAAGAGGAGAGGAAGGAGGAGGAAGAAGAAACCAGAGGACAGATAGGGGAATGGGTTCAAAGGAAAAGATAATTATTAATTTGGAACAAAATAATCACTATCTTATTTGCAAAAACCATTTGACTGTTACCTAAGCAACTGTGTCTATTTAGTGTGTCGATTTCTTGACCTATGACCCTTTGCATAGGAAAAGAATTTTGTCATTCTTTAAAACTATAAAATCAAGATAAAGACCATGTGACTGACCACAGCTTAAATGATAAAACTTGCAATTCAGAATGATTGCAGACCATCTCTGTTGTTTGCAGTAATCCGTCATGGTTATTATATTCAATCTATTCTATGTATAGTGGATTTATTTTCTGACTTTAAATCACTAATCATGGTCTCATGTCCTCAATCTTAGGTTATTTTCCAGTAATCTTCTATTTAACTTAAAGATAAATAATCACACTTATGATACATTTTGGTTGCTTTTCCTCCCCTCAGAGTCGCATTTGGAAACTGCACTGGGTTGGTTGTGGTGGATTTCATACAGAAGACAGTGCTATTAAGTATGGGAACCATTGACCTCTATAGATCAAGTGACCTGTACCAGCGACAGCCCCGGTCTCCTCGAAAAAACAAGCAGTTCATTGCAGGTAGGAGACAAACTAGATGGGTTTTGAACTCCAATTGTTCACTTGTTTTCTTTCAGATTGGCTTCCTTGCATGATGCCATCCAAATGCATGGAAATACTGATTCAACATGTAAATAAACAAACTGGGAAAAAACAGCAATAACCTTTAAACAGGACTGAGCAGTGCTTAACGTTCAGTTTGTTGTTGAAGTTAGGAAGCATCTTAAGTTTCTTAGGTTGGATTTTTAAGAAGTAACAGAAAATAACAACCTATTGATACAAAAATTGGGACTCTTGTTATGAAAAGCTGTTAAAAAATTTTTGGACTTAAACAGTTTAACTTTCTTCTAAAATGTCTCACTTTTTTCTAATACAGTTTAAGGTCATTATCACTTTTCATTTTTTTAAGTAGCTATAATGTGACCATCATCTTTATTTTTACTGATGATGACTAAATTGGACATATGTTTATAAGCATAATAAATACCATTCTCTGATATTTTAAGTGCAGTGAAAGATGGCAATTTTTCATAGCAGGACAAGAAAAGTAGCTTAACTGCAAGAGAAATGAAATATGAGGTTTGATTAAGGCATGATGTCAAACTGTGGCAGCCTGAGTTACCCAGAATTTTACAGGAATTTCAGTATACCCTTATGAGTGGCTTTAACATCCATACATTTTTGTATTTTTATTATCTAGTTAGTTACTTTACCAATAATTAACTGAGTATTGAGACCTTTACTAAAAATGCCCATAAAAAGAGTATTTTATAATATATGGTAGTTGTTGTTTTCCATGTGCAGAAGGGTCCACTTTAACATTAACTGAATTTCCCATTTGAACCAATGGTGTTTGGTTGACATTCTTCTTTGTTAACTTTTCTTTGTAAACTTTATTGCTTGCTGCTTTAGACCCTTTGCAGAGGCACAGCATTTGTCCTGGCTTGCCAGGCTTTGGTTTGGGACCTCAGCTTTCAGTATTATCTTAGTATCCTGGACATTTTAGTTCTGCAGATTCTGCCTCTGTCACCGATAGCTTTTGAAAGACAACCAGAGTAAGAGATATTGCCTCGTGTTTGGAGTAGAGGCAACTGGTTTTGAAAGTTCAGAGTGTTTAAGACAGGAAGCTATAAGGGGCAGGTAATGAGAAGCTGCTGCTCCAAGAATGGAAGTCCCATTGTTCAGAAGAGCTGTAGATCCTCTGCCAGCACGTCAATGATTTGTCTGATATCCTCTTAGGTATAGAAGAGTGAATGTTTTGACTAGGAAAGCGTATGTAGTTCAAACCCGCTGAGTTTCAGCTGTAATGATTACAGATTAGAATTTTGATAGCTTAAATATAGATTAAAAACTGATGAAGTTCTAAACTCAGTGTCTATTTTATTTTATAATATAACTACAGTGAGTGCATACTTTATATTACAGAACAAAAATTAAAGTATCTAAGCTGCCTTTTTAATTGATGAAAGATTAAATATAATAATTTTAACATGAACAAATTATTGTACATAGTCTTACAAATGAAATAATTCCACCATGGTAGACCCATGTAAGAAGAATATGCCACCAGCTTTATAAGATATGTGGTTAAATAAAATGGCTACAGCATTCCCATCATTCATCTATCACCTTTCTAGTTGATTTATTTTTAAAATATCTCCTCTCTAATTTGATTGCCTAATCTTGCTACAATTTCTCCACCTTGGCTGTTCTAGATTCTGGTATGATATCACTTCCTTTCACTTTAGACTATTTTCTCTCTTTCCTCTGCCTGCTGCTGATGCTGATGCTCTGGCATGTTCCAAAGACAACTTTTGCATGCGTGGGCTGTCTAACTTTTATCCTGATTTAACGAAACGGATCCGTACTTCCTATCAGAGTAAGTTCTATAAAGGTTAGGCAAATAACTTTTTATTTTAAGTCATGATGCTTGAGTTAAATCCATTCATGAGTGCTTAGTAATGTGTTTTTTTATAAAAACACATTCAACATGCATGCAATTTTTTGTTATGGAAATGCAATCTGATGTTTTAATTTCTAATTTTCATAATTTTATTTTCGATATTCCTGATCATTATTGTCATGTACCTGCTCTCTCACCCTTTGTTTCAGTGTACATTTCAAATCATGTCCTGTTAGTTCAGTAGTATTGTGTTTTCTCTTAAAGGAGAAAGAGTTGTGGTTTTCTTAGAAATTATAAACCTGACTTACTGTGTCAATGAAAATTCAATGCTTTCATATTTTGTCAGTGCTGTGATTTGACCATTTTGAAACTTTATTCTAACTAGTATGAAAATAATCTTTTATAGTTCTTGGGGATAGCTAAATATTTTTAATTTATGATGTCTTTTGTTAAAATAGAATACCCTCAAACACATTTAAATGGTGATTTTTGATACCAAACCCTGTTAGAGGCATTAACGTCATAACTGAAAGGTGAAAATTAACAATTCCTATGGTAGCAATGACGATGTAAAGATGAGTAAATGAGCAATTCTAAACATTGGTACAGGGAGTGTGAGGGGGTGTGTCACTAAAAATATAAGAATGCTAGTCATCTTGTGATTATAGGTACTGATATGAAAAATGGTTATATCATACTAATATATTTTGTGAAAATCAGGTTGCTTCCCAAAATATACAATATGGCATTATAGTTGTATAAAAATACACATATGCAATAAACACACACACACACTTGACCCTGTATACTCTTGTAACCTGAACAGTTTCAGATACTCTCTTACTAATAAAGCCCATTACAGAAGTTACAACTGTACAGATGTAATGCTCCTGGCAGGAAGCTGGTTGCTGTGAGGCCTCCCAATCTTCCTGAAGTGTCCAGTGTGACTTGCCTTTGCTCATGCTCTTGAACTTTCTACTCCACCAGTCATCTTTTTGGTCATACGCCCACCGTCCCTGCTCAGGTGACTTGTGTCACTTTTGACATCTGTCTTGGCGTCTACTACTCATAAAGCAGGAAGAGATATTACAATATTTTTGACATTCTGAAATTCTGTGAAATTCAATTTCCACAACAAGCTTTTATTGGAGCATAGTTATCCTTCACTGATATGTCTTCAAAGGCTGATTTTACATTTCAGAGGCAGAAATGAGTAATCAAAAAGTCGCATGGCCCACAAGCAGTCTCTTGAGTACATTTTTTGAAGTTTGCTAATCCATACTCTGTACCATTTTCCACACCTATCCTGTACAACCACATAGAGTTTGCAACTTGAATGGTTTCCATTTTAGCCTCCTAAAATATTCGAGAACATGAGATTCAGGTTTTCCCAGTTTCTCTTGGATTTGCTCCCTGGTGTTTTCTATAATAAACATGTGATGCTGTTAAAGTTAAGAAAGTCCAGAGGACAAATGTTGGCTCTGAACTTGTCAGACTTCCATTAGAAAAGTATTAGGAACCTTTGAAAATTGCTGAATATTTTTATATTCCCCCCATAAAAATAAGGTCTAAGCTTATATTCCAAGTCTTCTAAAATGTAATTTCCTTTTTCCTGTGTATAAAAACATGCTCCTTAACCAAACTCTATTTTCCTACCATTGTGATTTACTCATATCCCTCTTTATAAATGCCCTGATTAAGTTTCATTTCCTATAATAAACCATTTGTACTGCTGTCTAAGCCATATTGTACTAATCTCCTTAATTAAGTGCCTATGATATATATGCGTGTACACAATGTCTGTGTTGCTTCAATTCATTTATATAATGATGTATTTTATACTTGTATGTTACATCACAAGATTCTGAAAACCACATTAGTTAAACTTTTGAAATTTAAAATCAACAGATGAAAATTCAAATTTGAAAAAAATTAAATTCTTTATGACCTCTACATCCAGTACAAGCTCTGAGCTTAGAAATGAATGATTATGGAGTGAGAGAGAGCGTGGCAGAAAGCTATCTCATTGCATGAACAGTCAGGGAACTTCTCGTGTTAGATAAATAGGAGAATTAAGACTTGTTAATACTGGATTGATTGGAATTTTGAAATGATTCAGATTTTTTTCTAACCAGAGATGCACATAAACAAAAGAGAAGTAAAACTTGGTCCTTACAATACAGGACCTAAGTAGGAATTCCAGTCTCTACCACTGGTCTCTGTGGCAGCTCGTATAGCTCTCAGACTTGGAATCAGATGTCTCAATGATAAATATTTTCTGTCATGAATGGTGTTGATTTAATGGTTCAAAACTATTTATTAGAAATAAAATGTATAAAAATGTGGCTTAATGGTTCAAAACTATTTATTAGAAATAAAATGTATAAAAATGTGGCTTGAATTTTTAGTTGATATAATCTGATTGTATTTATATAGTCCTATATTACTAAAAGAGAGATAGTAAATGAAGTATTTCTCTTCACCTTTAGAAATGGATGTCTGTGTTGTCCCTATCTGGGAAGGGACAACATGGACAGTTTATCCAGTTCTGATTGGACTAGTCCAGTGGTTCTCAACTGCTAATGCTGTGACTCTTTAATACAGTTCTTCATATTGTGATGATCCCCAACCATACAATTATTTTTGTTGCTACTACCTAACTATAAGTTTTCCACTGTTATAGTTCATAATGTAATTATCTGTGTTTTCTGATGATCTTAGGCAACTATTATGCTAGTCAGTTTAGTTTTAATTGCCATTATAACTCTTTGAAGGAAATATGGGTTAGTTGATACATTCCTCTGTCGATGAGAAAATTAACATTGGAAGAGATGAATTTCATTTTTTCAAATCCTAAAGGACAGTCAGGCAAACTCACCTCAATGAGGCACTAAAAAGATCTTTGTGCTTTCCACCATGTTATCCTGTACCTCCTCTTGCCTCTTAAAGTTTTGGTCACATTGAGAAGCAAATCCATCATTCTATAATCAAAAGCTTTTTCTTTCCTTCATATTACCTATTATCAATAAAATAACATTCGAAATTGAAACAATTTGAATTTATTTTTTTATTTTTTAATTAATTTATTTATTAAAGATTTCTGTCTCTTCCCCACCGCCGCCTCCCCTTTCCCTCCCCCTCCCCCATTTTATTTTTTATATCTTTGAAATTTATAATTATGTAAAATACTCCATAAATGTCTCTTAAATATCTAAAAAAATTATTTTTTATTCTGTCATATCAATTTTGGTCTTGAAATAATGTCATATTCACATGTGAACATTACAATTTTAATTTTGATGAAATATCTTAGTTTTAATCTTTTTTTGGTCCATTTTCCTTAGGGTATGAGATATTGCCTTTTATAAGCCTTTAAATCCATGCCTGCAAATTTCCTGTATCATAAAATAATACAATCTTATAACTTAAATAAAATCCATATATTTAATAAATTACTGTTTGTGGAAAGTAGCATCATGCTTTGGAACAAGCTGTAGACACATATTCAAACTTAGATCAAGTTCTACTTTTTTCAACTTATTGACTAATTATTGTAATCTTAAAGGAGATACTTAAATCATTGAGATTTATTCTCACCTATAAAATAGCATAAAAGTCATCATCTCTACTCCCATTTAAAGAGTTGATCTTGTAAAAGAACTCTATAACTATTAGACATATTAGATACGTTTATCAGACATATCAGATATGTTTTATGATTAACGTGTGATACAATCGAAAAGCAGATGGTTAAGTAACTTCCACCATCATGATCATTGTATGGAAGTCATTGAGTTGAAACTCCATCTGCGTGTTAGTGCCTTGAGCTTTGTTTCTGAGAATGTCAGAAACGTTGCCAGGTTAAAATTGATTGTATGCCATGTAAGTCAAAGAAAGTTTGAAGATACATTTAAGGTAAAGTGTGGCTAGAAACATTTGCTTGTGCATCAACATATAATTATACAAAAAGGGATACTTTGAGTTTCCAGTTTTTCAATGTTCACCAAATGAGATTTTTCTGATTAGGGAATGGCAGGATATCCTCAAATTGTAAGTAAGAGAAAACAAGAAAATGAAACAAGAGGCTAACTATAAAGAAAAGGAGATGGTAAGTGTAAGGGAACTAGTTAAAAAAAAAAGGCAAAAATAGACACCTGAATGCAGAAAGTCCAGAATGGAAGAAAAGTAAATGGAAAAGGGATAAGGAAAGAAGGAGTGTCTCAGACCATAAAAAAAAAAAAAAACTATTAGCATAAATTGTGGTTAACAAAAGATCCACTCATTCAATTTTTTCTTTGTTATTTATTCTTCTTGTATGCAATAATACATCCCAATTACAACCTCCCCTTCCTCCATTCCTCCCAGTCCCCCTCCCTCTCCAGTCCAAAGAGCAGTCAGGGTTCCCTGCCCTATGGAAGTCCAAGGTCCTCCCCCTCCCAGACCTGTGACCTTGAATTTTGACCCTACCATTTGTATGTTTAGAAACACACTCACAATTGTGTCACAGTGGCAATAGTACAGTAACATACTGTTAAAAGTGTGCAGACAAGGAGGAATATTTTAAAGGCTATTCCACCCAGGTTTGTATAAGTGCAATGTGTGACGTGTGTACAATATCAGGATCATCTAGGGATATGTCTCTCAGAACATGCTCTGCCTATAAATGACAAATAACTATAATTGTAGGTTTGTTTCTGTTTAAGCTCTATCGTTGATTTACAACTGTGAATTTGTTTACGCAAAAAGTATTTACTCTTTGATCTTATAGTTTCTCACCTGTGAACATAGGGGTTAAGCCACATTTTCATAATATGACACTACATTTTCAGTTGCAAATTCTATGAGGATTCTTTTTTCTGTTCCTATGCCAGTTTATTTTCTGCTGCTGCGATAAAACACTCCGACAAAGCAACTTAGGAGAGGAAGGGTTTATTTCGGCTTACAGTTCAGGAGATGATGCTGTCCACCATGGCAGGGAAGGTGTGGCCACAGGGAATGCAGCTACCCAGGAGCCAGCCTATAAAACCTCAAGATTCTCCCCCAGGGACACACTTCCTTCTGCAAGGTTCCACCAATAAAGATTCTCTAACCTTCCCAGACAGCACCACCAGCGGGGACCAAGCAGTCAATGCATGGGCCTATTGGAGACATTTTACATTTCAGCCATAAAATTCTGCCCTTGGCCCCCATGTGTTCATGGTCATCTCATGACGCAAATGCATTTAGTACAACTTGGAAAATCCCCAGAGACTTTAATAATTATACCAGTGTTTAAAGGTCTCATCTTAGAAGAGTCTTAGACTCCTCTTAGATTCAAGGTAGTCTCCTAAGTGCAACTCTCTGTAAAATTAATTTCATTCTTCTAATTTAACAATGGCACAAAGCATACATTTCCATTCCAAAATGGAGAAATGAGAACATAGGATAGATTGGCCCAAAGTAAGAGCAAAACCCAGCAAGGACACAAAAGCCCTGTATCTCCATGTGCCGTATCTAGAGCGTTAGTTTCATAGGGCTGAGGTGACTCCACCCCTACATACGTGCTTCTTGCAGTATGATCTCTGTCCAGGGCAACTTGTACTTCTGTATGAGGCCCTCCTTGGCAGGTATCCCTTGGCTCTTGCATATTCAACATCTTTAGGTCTCCATCACTCACTCCATCCTAACTTGGGCTTCATCGTCACACAATGGCCCCTGAAGGCCTTCATGTACTTATGCAACCCTGCCACACATTGCCTAGCCTCAAAGGTTAAAACCATGGGAGACGAATCCATGATCCCCTCAGTCCTGTATCTCTCATGTAGGCCCCCCTAAACCAGTACCACATGGCTAACACTCCCAAGTTCTGCTTCCAGCTAAAATAGAATATAGTCCCTTTGGAACACAGTTACAATATCCTCTGCATGCCAGAGCTAAAAATTAAAAGAAAAAACCTTTGGGCAGTGGTTTCTCAAACTTCCTAATGCTGTAACCTTTAATGTAGGTCATTATGTTGTGGTGACCCTTAACCATAAAATGTTTTCACTGCTTCTTTATAACTTTAGTTTGCTGTAGTTATAAGCCATAATGTAAATATCTGATATACAGGATGTGTGACCCCTGTGAAAATGTTGTTCAACCCCTAAAGAGGTTGCAACCCACAGGTTGAGAACCACTCCTCTAGGGTCTGACCTTCCAGGAGCAGGAAATCCCTTGTACTCTCTCCTGTTGTGAGTTGGAGCCTTTGGTGAATGAGGTCAGAACACGTTTCCTGCTGTCCCCCATGCAGAGCAGGAGACAAATCCCTTTAACTCCTTCCTAGTGCTCTTTAACTCCGCACTCGTTGTTCTTTTTCATTGTAAACATGTGTAAGTGTAATCATTCACAACAAACTGTGCAAACTGAATGTTACATTGCCTTAAAATCTCCTCTACCAGAAGAATCCGTCTATTACTTTTTAATGCAGCCTCTTGCAAATTCTCAGGACATGGGCAGAGTGTGTGCAATTCCGTAATCAAAATCACACAAAAATCCCTTGCCCCATTCCTGATGAGTCCTTGCTTCTCATGAGCTTTGCACTCTGTGTTCCTCTTAGCACTCCTATCTTCCAAGTTCCTACTAGGACAGCCCCAACTTAAGCTCTGCTTACAGCATTCAGCTCTTTTCCAGCTCAAAGTTCCAAAACTTCCATATTCCTCGAAACAAAGGCCTAAAGAACATTACTTTGCTGGGTAATTGCTTACCACAGCAATTGCCCATCTTTTGATACAAATTTGTCTTCATTTCTTTTCTGTTGCTATGGCACCCCGACATGAAAGAGGAAGGGTTTATATTGCCTTACAGTTGTAGAAAGGCTGCAGTCCATCATGGCAAGGCATGGTAGCAGACGCAGGAGGCTATACAGAAGTGAGAAGCAGAAAGAGAACAGGAAAGACAGAGTATAGAATCCCAAAGCCCTTCCACAGTAGCATACTCATGTAGCAAGGATCCACCTCCTAAAGACTCTATAGCCGTCCCAAACAGTGCCATAGTTGAGACTACCATTCGAACACATAGGCCTATGGGAAACACGTTACATTGCCACCACAGTGGCACTTCTGGCATTCGTGACACAAACAGCATAAAGAAGAGGCGACAACGTCACATGTCACTGTTCACAATACCCCGCAAATATTTCTGGGTGTGCAGACGTAGTTATACGTGCCAACCGAACAATTATAAACAAATGAAAATACATGAGCTGATTCATCAAGAACAGGAAGCTATGATGGATATTTTATGAATAAGAATGGAGAACTGCAGATCGTGAGAACCACAAACCATTTATTAATCCATCCTGCCTTACTCTTGTATTTGTCCAGAAAGTGATAAAATGGAAAGTAAGAAATACTAGTAATAAAAGAATGATAGTGCTTGTTGTAACTTGATGACATTAAATAATATACATGTGTGTATATAGTTATATATACATAATACTAAAAAATTTATAAAATTTTTAAATTTGTAATATCTCTTAAAAGATCTTTTTTAAAAATCAATACCTCCTGAAGTAGGAGATCGTATTAAGTCTTTTAAAGCACTTTCTATTTTCCATTATTCTTGGTATATTTGTTAAGGAAGTTGGTCATTTATTAAAGTAGTTAAGTGTAAATAATAAAAAGAATTCTTATTTTTATACAATCTGTGTTTAATTACTCCTTGTATATAATAAGTTGCTGTCATTTATACATTCCTGTATCAGAGGTTTTTCAAAATAATTTGTGTAAGATGGGTATGATAGGGTAGTTTTCACAGGTTAAAGTTTGAAGCAATTACAAAGAATTACCTATAAAGTGTCACCAAATTTATCTCTTTTCTTTCTCTCCCCCCCCCCATTACATTTTCAGGCTTAACAGAGCTGAATGATAGTCCAGTTCCCCTGGAACTTGAGCGCTGCAAGTCTCCCACTTCAGGTAATGGTATTTTTCAAGCTTCTGGTAATTACTATAGTATTTTTTGATACATTTTCATAATTCTTTTAAAATTAGTAGTTAATTCAGTTTCTGGAATTTGTTCATAAGTAGCTTTGTTTCCAAATATACAAAACTTTATCATCTATTGGAGTAGTAAAATTTGTGAGAAATATAAACTATAGGTGCAGAAAAAAATTATAGCATGCTTCTGGGTCACTATTCATGGCATGCTTATTTATTGATAAATTAAAATGAAGTCTAATATGGCATGAAATAAAACATCTTCAAGACAAAGTGTGAGACCACTAAGCGTTCATGTAACACCACAAGGAAAGAGACTCCTAGAGATAAATATTGAAAGCACATAAATAAATTAATAAATATCTCAGCATGGTAGGATTCTGAGTGGTTGTCTATTTTTTAAAAAATCTGATTATATGTTATCTCACAAATTTTTGAAAATTATTCTGAATTTTCTTTTCTTTTTTCTTTTCCTTCCTTCCTTCCTTCCTTCCTTCCTTCCTTCCTTCCTTCCTTCCTTCCTGTCTTTATTTGAGAAAGGGTTTCTCTGTAACTTTGGAGCCTTATCCTGGAACTCGCTCTGTAAACCAGATTGGCCTCGAACTCACAGAGATCCACCTGCCTCTGCCTCCCAGGTGATGGGATTAAATGTGTGTGTCACCACCATCTGGCAATTATGAATTTTCTATAATGATAATATAACAGCAGATAAAGTTTTGTGTATATCTTAGATAGTGGATAGATCCATTCCTACCAAATTTCAAGATCTCCTGGGTAAATTGGGAGTATGGGGACGTTGGGGGAGGGTTGAAGGGGGAAGGAGAGCAGTGATTAAAGTAGAGCTCAATAAAAATCAATTTAAAAAACCAAAGAAATTTTAAAAGAAATATAAAAATAATCAAAAGAAGAGACTGAGGTGTAGATAAATGGTAGAGTACTTACCTAGCAGGTACAAGGCCCTAGATTTGGGCCCAAGCACTATAAAAAACTTTTTTTTCTCAGAATAGCAAAAGATATCACTACTTTTTATATACATTATTTATTGTATATGGAAATGTTAGAATTTTAATAATGCTTTTTAAATCGTGTATTTGGATTTTAAATTTTTTTACATTTCTTCAAATTGTATCCTTTTCAAGTTGCTAATTCTTTTTCCTTGCTCTGCGTCCTATGTGAAGTTTTCTTTTAATAATATCTTTTCATATTCTTATTTTATTGCTTTATATGTGTACCACATATGTACAGAAGCTTGCAGAAGCCAGACAAGGGAATCAGATCTGATACTGCAAATATCAAGAAGTAGTTTGAGCAGTCATGTATATGCCGGGAGCAAAACTTCTTCCTATGCAAGAGCAGTGCTCTTAGCCACAGAGTTATCTCTCCAGCCCCATATTGATTTTATTTTGATTTTCCTAATACACCCTTCTTTTCCTATCCTCATTGACACCATTGTAATTTAAGAAATCATTGCCTCATACCTAGAGTCACATAAAAATGTTCTGGCAAATGATTTTGCATTTTAAACTTCCCTACAGTTTATTCTCCATATCACATTGCAGAATTAACTTCCTTAAAATATTACTTTGGTCATATTTTCTTATAACTAACAATCTTTCATATAGTTCAATGTCTTATAACAGATTGTTGTACCAACCAAACTTGAAATTCCCTTCCTTAATTTGAATTTGAATAATAAACATTGACTCCTTCTGCTTTGTACATTTCTATTTTACTGAAAAGCTAAATATGATTTTTAAATTTTTATTTATTTTTCTAGACAGTTTATGTTTGAAAACAAAAAAGACATCCATTTTAGTCCTCTTTTATGTAGATTATTATAATCATGCTTGCATCAACTTTCAGTATAGTTTGTGTTCCATATCACTAAATTGACCATTCCTTTAGTTTTATAGTTGTATAAAATTTAATTGGATGTATATATCACAATTTATCTAATCAGTTCAACTATCAAATACATTGAGCTTGTTACCTATCTTCTGCTACTACAGACTGATGCAGAGAGAAACCTAACCAAATTTTAAATTTGTGTAAATGTATCTAAGAGATAAATTTGTAAAATTGGGGTCTGGTGGTCAAAGATTATATGAAATGAATGAAATTTATGCCCTGGCAGTGCTGAAGCATACATGGGCAGCCCATATATGGCAGTTCTGTTGGACTTGTCCATATTGGGTTTCATGGTCTAAGTTGATGAGGACAACTGAACAGGTGTCTTCCTCAAGAGGGCACCAGAACTCATTACATGTGGTTGCTTGGAATTTAGCTCAGGACCTTTGGAAGAACAAGCAGCGCTCTTAACCGCTGAGCCATCCGTGTTTAATTTTTGTAGATATTCCCATGTTTCTGTCCTCAAGTCCTAAATAACATTCAAATAATGGTTGTGCTTTTCACTTATAACTAATGATTAATAGATTAAAGGGATATGTATATGTTACAATTTACTGTAACATGAAGGGGGCCTGCTTGTTGGGGTTTTCTGTCCCACCTGGTTCCCCACAGCCAGCAAGCCCCAAAGAAAATCACACAGAGATCTCTATAAGTTATAAAACTGATTGGCCCATTTGCTCTAGCCTCTTATTAGCTCTTGTAGCTTATATTAACCCATTGTTCTTATCTATGCTAGCTATGTGGCTCGGTACCTTTTTCAGCTGGGCAGATTACATGCTGCTTCTTCAGTAGTCTGGGCAGGAGTGGGAGGAATCAACTTCCTCCTTCCCAGAATTCTCCTGTTCTCATTGCATCATTTCTACTTCCTGTCTGGCTTTCCTGCCTATATTTCCTGCCTGGTCAATCAGCGTTTATTTAAAACATGATTGACAGAATACAGACAATTCTCCCACATCAATTTACAGTTTATGTGCTATAAGTTATATTCAAAACCTTTTTACATATATTTAAAAACAATTTTTTGTACACTGTGCAATAAGGTATCCATATTGTAGAACTTTGTCATGTATTGATACTGATTTTTTAATACAAAATCCAAATAGTTTCTCAATTTAGCTTTTAATTTTGTTCATTGTATTTCTTCTTTTGAACATTTTTATATAAAAATGATCAATATTTTATAGTTTACCTTTTTATTTTCTCTTTCTATTTATCTGTCTGTGTATATGTGTGTGTGAGAGAGAGAGAAGAGAGTTTTGTGGGTACATTGTAGCATGATTTTTAATTGGTCTTAATAATAAAAGCTCAGAGTCAACTATCTGGGTAAAAGCTGAAGGATCAGAGAAGCAGAACAGCCAGCCACTAGAGTTCTTACATCTTCCAATGCTCAGATCAAAGGGGCGATCCTGCCCTCAACTGCATCCTCAGAATGAATGCTTCTGTACTGCCTCAGACTGTTGCCTCAGATTGCACTGAGCTCCTGTCTCCTCCCTCCTTATATTCCTTTCCCTACCCAACCATATCATTCCTGTCTCCACCTCCCTAGTGCTAGGATTAAAGGCATGGGATCCCAAGTGCAATTATCACCTTTGTGTGAGCTCTGTTTCTCTTTTATACAGATTCAATCTTTTGTGGCCCAGGGTGGCCTTGATCATTCTGCTTCTGTCTCCCAAATCCTGGGATTAAAGGTGTGTGCCCCCTGATCTCTAGTGGTTTAGCTCTGCACTCTGATCTTCAGGCAAGCTTTATTTGTTAAAACACAAAATATCACCATGGTGTTAATGCATATTTGTGTACTTGCATGTTGAGGCCAGGGGGTTAGCCTCAGTGGTCTTTTCTTAGGAGCTGTGTACATTGCTCTGTGAGGCAGAGTATCTCACTGGGACCTAGGGCTCACCAATTAGCATAGACTAGCTAGCCATAGAGTAGGCCCCAGATGCCTGCTCATCTCTGCTTCTAGGATTATCAAGACAAGCCATGACATCCAGCTTTTGATATGCATTCTGGGGACCCAGGATTCTGGTCCCCATGCTAGTGGAGCAATCACTTTACAGACTGAGCCATCTCCATGCCCTTTCTCCTTTCTTCTGCACAAGGGTTAAGTAATTGTTGCGATTACTTATTCTTTGAAGTTTAAGTAACATTTCTCTTTTATAACAATTGCTTCATGTATTCTTTATTTTGCATAATTATCCTTTCTCTTTAAAGAAATTTCTCTCCATTATGGACATTTTTGATTAGCCTTAAATAATGTTTTATTTTGTTTCTTTTTAACTTTTAATTTCTGCTTTTATCTTTATTAATTACCTGTATTTTCCTTTTCCTTTATTTTTACTTTTCACCTTTTTAGGTATATACTTAAGTCTTCTGTTTTCATTATTTATTAAACATTCCTATAAGTATTCAGTGCTAAATTTCCCTTTGAATTCCACACTAAATATATCACACTTATTTTATAATAGTTATTTTATTAAAATTCATTTTGTGAAATATTCTAGTTCTTTTTCCTTTTATTGAAAATAGTTTTTTTATACAATATATCCTGAATATAGTTTCCCTTCACTCCACCTCTCAAGTTTCTACCCACCTCTCCTCCCATCTGGACCCTTTCTGTCTCTTGTTAGAAAGCAAACAGACGTCTAAGGGAGTGTAATGCAATACATTTTAATATAATACATTATAAAAGAAAAAACAAGCACAAACCATTTGAAATAGGCCAAAACAGAAGAAAATGGTACAAGAAACAGATATAGATGCAGAGACCCACTTGTACACACACTCAGGAATCCCATAAAAACACCAAACTGAAAGTCATAATATATACACAAAAGACCTATTGGGTAAAAATAATAAATAACATTTTAAAATGAAAAATATAAAATGTTTGCCAGGCAGAAGTGGCACATGCATTTAATCCCAGCACTTAGGAGGGAGAGGCAGCGAGATCTCTGAGTTCGATACCAGCCTGGTCTACCCAGCGAGTTCCAGGACAGGCTCCAAAGCTACACAGAGAAACCCTGTCTTGAAAAAATAAATTAGAGAAAGGAAAATACCAGGAGAGATATAAAACA